CAATATGATCCCCATATCTGCAGGGGATCCGTTCTCATGGTTGTCCTGAAATAAATGAAACTGCAGTCAATGGCGGATATTGTATTTCTGGCAGAACTTGACCATGGAGTCACGCTGGAAGACCTCTGGATTCCTAGAAAGGTAGTCTCTCTAAGCATCTGGAGATCCTCCAGCGTGACTCTATGGACAATGTCTGATGATGACCACAGAGTCACAGCCTCTGGACTAAATAGTTCAATGGTTTGACCCAATATAAAGCAGTATTATATGTTCCCGTACTCCTACATCATTGGTGTTGCTGATGATCTTAAGGCGACAACTCTTTCATGGGGTGACTCTTGGCTCAAAATTCAGAGATTCTCCAGATACGTGCTATTGTCACTTGGGAGGACAAAGTGTGGTCCATGCAATGAATGTGGTCCCCAGAACCACATTTGTGGCCCTGAAACCTCCCATCTGTCTCCCCAAAGCCCTGCAACCTTGACCCATCCAAATTATTTAATGTTTGAGTACGATCTTTAGGAAATTCTTGCACCAAACCCATGCAGAAAGTCCCTCAGACATGGGAAAAACCAAGCACCCCAAAATCCCTTCCTACCCCATGTGCCCCAATTTTCCTCTGCAGTCCTTCTCAAAATGGAGATTCCCTGTCTCCATTTTGAAAGGGTCCAAAGAGGAAAATAGACGTATTTGGGGTTGCTCTGTCTTCGAAGGGGCACAAGAAAGAAGGTCCTGGGGGTTGGGGTTGGGGGAAATGGCCATATGCAGTTTACTCATCCCACATCTGTCATATTCAGTTGCCAGATCAGAACCATCTCAGGTCCTGAAATTTCAGGGCCAAAGCTTAAGCTCTAAGGATAGTCCCCTTGTGATGTCATGAAAGCACCAATTGCAATTGCACAGAGTATTATATTATGCGCAATATAATACTCTGCCTTGAATCCCATTGTGGGAGAAAGGTGGGATATAAATCCTTGAAATAAATAAATAAAAATAAATTATATCTTCCAAACCAAAAGCACCATCTGTAAGTAATGAGGGCAACACACACATGCACTTTTTCCAAGATAGCACTCTCACCCTGAGATTCCTTCACTTCGCCAGGTGGAGTAAATAGGATGTCTCAGACCTTGCTATCTAGAAACCCTGCACTATTTCAACTCTCTCCCTCTTCTTTCCCCTTTCCTGTGAGCAACTGGAGTAGTTCAGAAGGAAGACAACACATTTGCAAATTTGCACATTTGCAAATGCCATAGAGTTCATTATGGAGTTCGGGGTCCATCCAAACGGTGCAGGCATCTTTTGTTAATAATGATCTGGTAAAAAGAATATATATTTTCCTTAAGTATCAACTTATACTCCCTCTCTGCCTCTAAGCAACTCAGAACTTGATGATGATGATGATGATGATGATGATGATGATGATGATGATCTATTATCCCCAAATACCCGTTTTCCTCTATGGTCCTTCTCAAAATGGTTGACCATTTCCTCCACCTGCTTTTTAATGTTGCATTGAATTCTTAGGTTCTCATCTTTGCTCTTTACAGATTTGATCCTAGCACAATCCTCACTCGTCCATTGTCAACATCACAAACACAGGGATGTAATTGTGTTTCCAAATAAAAAGAGGGTTTATTAAGATAACGGCTGACATGTTTGTCCTTGTGGCTGTGATGGCAGGGTTGTTACATCTAGTGCATCTTTTTCAGAGAAACAATAGCATGTACAGAAGGGAAAACGAAAGAAACCAAACCAAATGGGAAAATAAAGTGTCTCTTGTATTGTTATTATTATTATTATTAGCATCACAGGGTATTTGTCCATGCTACCATGTTGGGAATCCAAAACTTCATTCCAGAAAATTCTAAAAACAGACTTCTCTTTCCAAAAAAAAAAGAAAGAAAAGAACTTTTTTAAAAGAAAGAAAGAAAGAAAGAAAGAAGATGAAGTCCCAACTGAATTGGATATAAATAACGCTCACTGGACATTTAAAAACTTTTTTGATTTAATTACACATAAATAAATATATACAGAATTTTAAAACAGTTCAGTTTGGCCTCCTTCAAGGTCTGCTTCTTGTGCTTTAATCATTTATTAATTTATTAATATTTATTATTCAGTCACTCTTTTAATATTTTTGCTAATATTTCAAAAAAGCCCAAGGCAAGGAAGGGCAGAGAATCTCACTCATCCTGGGCCCAGATCAGCTGGCTCACACTTGGTTAGATGCGAAGATTTGCTGAAATTTTGGTTCCTTTGATAGGAACGTTTCCAAGAATTGTGCATATATGTCGACGAGTCGGCCTTCTGCAGAGAAAATCCACAGTGACTTTCCAGGTCGAAAGGTGTCAACGAAGTCGGAGCGTCACTGGTAAGGCTTTCCTTACCACTAAAAAGGCAAGGAATACCTCTCTTTCTCTCCATTTTGCATCTCCAGGCCTGCCCCATAAGTTGGATACAAGACTTCTTCGTCTTACGTTGTTTGCTTTCAACGGTCTTGTGGAACAGCTCAATATTTTACGACTCTGGGCAATTAAAGAAAAACAATATATTGGGAAAGGGAAAGAATTGCACATGTAACCTGGCTTCGGGTATTCACTACTGCAAAATCAAAAGTGTGTCCAGAAAGGAGCATCGCCTCCATTGACTCCAGTCTCTATGCAGTTCCTCCTGACATTTCTCCTCCGCTTGTCCTCGCCCATCTCCACATTTTCTCAACTAGGTTCCAGAAACGCGTCTGTCACAGTTTGGAAAACACGACGATGGGAACAAAGAGGGTATGTTCGTTTTAGGTTTTCCTGACGTTGATAAGAACCAAGCAGGCCTCTTTTTTTATTCTCGTGAACTGGGAAGGGAAGAACCCCCCTGAAGAGTTGGGCCGGGAAACGGTGGCGTCATTTCCGATGCTTCACGTCCTTTTCTGAAGTTTTGGAGTCGCCGACCGGATGGCCGTTGCCCGTGCTATTCAGAAACATTTTATCGAGCCCTTTGAGTGACTCCACTAAGTAGTTCTGGAAGGCTGTGAGAGCCGCACAGATTGCCGGACCCCCAAAACCGTGCGTTATTAGGCTGAAGTGAGTTAAGCAACTCTGGACTCCGGGTTCCAAGATGAAGGATGGGCGACTGTTCCCGAGCGGAGAGCGGTCTTGGGCCATGAGATCGGCAAACTCTTTGCAGATTTGCCTAGAATGAGAAAAAGGGGAGATGTAACATTTGAACCCTCCGCCATGCAAATGGGACAATTTGGGCCCCCAGAGTCCTATTGGGCTGAAGAATTCACATGGAACTAGCCCTGCAAGGTTGCCATTTTATGACACGCTCATCAGAAGGGATGGAAACAGTGGCCACCAATTTTGCATCCTACATGCAGGATTGCACCCAGAGGTATGTGTTGACTGTGCATTATGTAATCCTTGTGTGCAAATGCAATGTTGCACAAGCCAATGTATATATGTATGCACAATAGTATGGCAAGTCCAACCTCAGTTCCACAATCCAGAATTGAATATGCCTGTCCTGCATTGGACAAACATATTCAGTCACTTTCGAAAGGAAACTTACACATCATAAGATACCAACAGATTTATGGACAATGTCCCCAGGATTCAGGTACCTACCATGTATATATTTGAGTGTGTTTATTAGAGACAAAATTCTGTATATGTGTGTATTAGCGATAGTCATACCAATATTAAAACCTGGATGATATGTATATTACTTTTTGTTTATTTACTTTTGCAAACATGGGCCAAAATCTTATCTTACATCAATCAGATGGTGTTTAACATGGTGGTGTAGTGGTTTGAGTGCTGGACTACAATTCTGAAGACCAGGGTTCAATTCCCTGCCTAGCCATGGGTGACCTTGGGTGAGTCACATACTCTCAGCCCCAGAAAAAATCCTGATCAGTTTGCCTTAAGGTTGCCATAAGTCAGAAACAACTTAAAAATACACAACAGCAACAACTGTGTAATTCTGTGGCCTTCCACACACATTAGCAGCTGTCATATTCCAGGAGGGATCAGTGTTGATGCTTACTGGTGCAAAGGGAAGGATGGAGGGAAGGCCATTCAGACAACACAAAAGCAGCTGATCTGAGCTTGGAGGGGAGAAGAAATGAGGGTACGATAACATCTGGAGTGCAGCTCCCCTTTTCCTTCCCCTCCAAGCTGAGAACAGCAGCATTTCCCTCATCAGAATTGCCTTCCCTTCCCATCCCTCCCCTCCTCTCCTTACTGGTAAGCATTAGCAGCATTGGATCCTCCCAGGACTTGACAGCTGGATCATACTTTAGAACCGGGCCAGGGGACCTGTGACCCACCAGTTGGACTCCAGTTCCCATCAGCCTTCTCAGATGATGGATTGTGACGGGAGTGGTAGTTCTTCAGCGTCTGGAGGGCCACAAGCCCTTCCCTTCCTTAGAATCTGGGCTCTCCATGAATGCTTTTCTTTTTACCCAGTCATATAATTAATGCAGCTCATAGTTGGGGAATTTGACCTCTGCAATAGGCCATTTATACTTTGCAACCTGCACTTCATTTTTACATTTTTATGAAACAGCAATTTGTTGCTTGGTTTGGAAACTTGAGTTTGGTGGGGAGGCAAAATTGTATCTTTCAGCTCTGAAACAGGAATGGCTGTTTCAGGAATTTGGGATCACCCAGCCAAGGAAAACATTAAAATGCATGTGCACTTGGCAGGTTCCTGTGCATATTTATGGCCGTTTGCACTTGCAAACTTTTAGATTGGAACAGACAAAGTACAGCCTTCCAGATGGTATTGGACTACAACATCTAGAAGCCCTAGACAGCCTATCCAATGGTGAAGAATGCTAGGAGTTGCAGTCCAGCAACATCTGGAAGGTCAGACTTTGCAGGTTCATTCCACAGTCTATGGTTGGTGTGTGAATCGTGTGGCTTGTAGGCTACATGCAACCCTTAGGACACCTTAAGAACCTGGCACCCGTTAGATTGACTCCAGGACACTTAATAATGCTGCCTGGCATCCTGTTCATCATTTATGATCTCGTAAGCAGGTTTACAACCTCATATCTGTTTCCTATTGTAACAATTGTAAACTGCCCCCAAACCTGCCTTAAAATCCAGCCAGCTGTACTGGGGAACAGAATAATTGTGAGTGGGGAGCTGAAGGATATTGCATCCTCCTCCTCCTCTTGCCAGGGACTGGAGGTGAGCTGATGAGTTGCAACAAGACCTTGCACCGGTGGTCTCTGCATTTTCGGGTGCAACGCTGATCCTTGGCAGGAGGTGGCTCAATGCATCACACTTCAGCACCCTGCTTACCAGCACTGTACAACTCTGCTCCTCCATGCAGCTGGCTGGATTTTAAGGTGTGTTTCAGGGGTCAGATCAAGAGATTGCAGGATTTCAGCAGCTGTTTTGGGGAGCCACTCTGAAATTGAAACCCCAAAAGGCCCCATAAGGCAACTTAGGGGGTGCATCTACATGTAGAAACAATGCAGTTTGCTACCACCTTAAGTGTGGTACCTCCATCCAATGGAACCCTGGGTTTTTACAAGGTCTGTAGCCTTCTCTGCCAAAGAGTGCTGGTGCTACCTCACAAAACTACAGATCCCAGAATTCTGCAGGATGGAGCCATGGAAGTTAAAGTGGTACAGATCAGTGAATCCCAAACTCTGGTCTTCCTGGTGTTTTGGACTTCAGCCTTCAGAATCCCAGACAATTGAACAAGATCATGGAGGCTTCTGGGAACTGAATCCCAAGACACTTAGAGGACCAGAGCTTGGGAATCACTAGTGTAGCCAGGAAGATGATACTCACTTGGTTGCCAGCAGCATGTTCTTCCGGGCATGGAGTTCACCGGGGTCCGCATGCTGGCGACAGAGGTACTCTGCTGCAGCTTTGGCTGGGAACTCTGTTTCACACACGTAACCAAAATCCCGGGCCAGATGAACAGCTTCTCCTGTTAAAAAATATATGTTAGGATTGATTGATTGATCAATTGATTGATCGACAGACATATGGCCCCTTTATCCATGGCTTCTGCATCCATGGATTCCACAATCCATGGCTTGAAAAAATCCATAAAGCAAACTTTGATTTTGCCATTTTATACAACTGACACCAATTTAGTGTTGTAGTTGTGTGCCTTCAAGTCATTTTCAATTTGTGGCAACCCTATCATGGGGTTTTCTGAGAGTATGTGACCACAATGCAGCGGCAAAGCATGTTAAACTCAGCTTTAACATCACCAGGAAGATGCAGCTCTGTGACGCTGCATCATCACGTTTCTTCCACTAAAATGACTTTTTACATCTGTGGCTGATGAAGAAGACTATGATCTTGGAAAGCTTTTACATGATGTATTTTGTACCTTTTGGTACGCTTAGTCAAGGTGGTAAAGGCATCACCACAATCTGTTCTTTTGGAATTTGCTATATTTTATCGCATGGGTAATATTGCAACCTCAGATATCTCTCTCCTTTAGATTAAAATTCAGATTTACTGCTCTGCTGACATGGTACCTAGGGAGTGAAGCTCTCCTTCCAAACCACGTCAAAAACTTGTATCTTGTTGGTAGACACAGCCAGAGTAGATCTACTGAATCAGTGGTTGAATGGCGAAGTGACACACCAGTTCCAGTAGGGAGTCCCATATGCTCAGTCCCAAGAACTGCTCCTTCCATGGGGTGGAATACAGAGGACTAGTCTTATATTTTAATCCCCCATATTCAAATGTTGTGAAGAATCATCAGTCCGTACAGCCATGAGACCTAGAAACCTGGGATGAGTTCCTCTGAGATTGTGCTCAGATCTGCTAAAAGAGTGAGCCCAGCATCCCACAAGGATGGCAAAAACCACGCCGGCAAATAGGTTAATACACTGGGGATGGATGGCCCTAATCTGGTAAACAGCAGGAGAGTGGAGATGAATTAGAGGCCTGTCTGCCTAACTTGGGTGTACATGAGAGAGATGTGATCGATTGCCGTCAGCTCTGATTACTTCCGCAGGGATGCCTGAAGACGGATCAATTTCACCGATGAGAGGGCATTTCCATGGAATGACGGATAGGGCCGGCCTCAGAGTTGTGTCCTAAGGAAGCCTGGATGCTGTGTTGATAGCACATTGTGTCTGCCTCTTAGTACTCCTCCCATCCATGTGTAAGTCAACAGAAATTGGTCATCCTCCCAACCCATGGCCTAAGCCAGCCAGGGAGGAAATATTTCATGCAACCCTGCATTTCCCACATGGCTGAGGCATCAGGACAGCTATGGGGGGGGGGGGAATTGAGGGCACTGTTTCCCCAAATTCTGCCCCTTCAATGGACGTTTTCCATAATTCCCAAATTTATAGCATTGCTAGAAATCTGAGACATTGCAAATTAGTCAAATTTAGAATTCTTATAAAGTTGCCCCTCCCAATTCATGGGGGATCTGTTCCAGACCTCACGAAAATGATGACTCAAGTTCCATAGAAAATAATGGTGCATGCACCCAAGGCGTGTGCACACAGCGGTGCACAGGAGCATGTGGCCATTCTGTTAATGGCTGCTTGTCTGTTCCATGAAGAGCAAGAACGCAGATTTCAAGTCTGCGAAAAGGGAGGGACGACTGTATTTGCTATGTCACTCTGCCTGCCTCTTTTCTGCCTCTGTATTGCTAAATCCTCAACTGAAGTTCTTAAATGACAGAAATGCTGAAAATTTGGGAATAGAAAGAAAATTACATGGGGTGGGTAAGATTCTTATGAGGGGACACACAATGTTCCCATTTTGCTTCCCCATAACTACTACCCTTTATGGGGAATGGAGATGGGGGGAGACTAGCCGAGGGGTAGGTTATTTGTTTTGCCTGCCAGTCCCCAACATTACTATTATAAATATTAGCAGATAAAAAGGAAAGACTCCATTCAACCAAAGGCAAAGGGTGGGAAGCAGCTGCCAGTCAGAGTCAATAACAGTAGATTAGATGGAGTGTATCCAGACCGGACTTTACGCTGCCCTATTGCACTACAAGCAAATGGTTGTACAAGTGAGTACTGGATACCGCTTTACGCAAGCATGGCCAAAGCAGAACCATCTGCTAGAGGTAAGGATTGTTTTCAAAAATATTGGGCAAATGGTTGCAAGCCATGTTTCTTGGGTGTCGGGACACCCTGGGCAAGCAGAATCCTGGACCAACGAGAATCTGCGCAGTTCTGGACTTATTCTGCACAAAATTCACCTGTGCCACTTTTCTGAGCAGAAAATACCACGTATGGATTGGGAGCAGAATAAGCCCTGAACTATGAATAGTCTTTGAAAGCGGTGCAGTTTTTGAAGACTTTCTTGCACTGGGAAGAAAATTGCACAAGTTAGTCATTGCTTCTTCATGAATAAAATTAGGGAAGAATGATATCCTTACAACCTCCACTGAGTAAGAGTCAGGGCCACCCTATTTGTTTCCTTGTTCAAACACCTCCTCGCCTGTGATTTACCCGGATCCCCTGAGCAGCAGCAGCAGCAGCAGCCAGTGACAGCTCCCAGCTGTCTGGACTGAGTCAAAAATCGTGCCTTTGGACACCCCCACCTCTCTCTCTCTCTCTCCTTCTTCTTCTTCTCATGGAAATCAGCCACGGCTCAAAGGGAGAGCCTGCCTCAACTGCCTTGGGGAACAACTGCTGCCATGGCGCAGACCTGTTTGTTTCATTTGCTGCCAACAAAGGCGATGGGGCTTCTTCTGTTCCTCCCCAGCAGCTGCTGCTTCTCTCTTTGGCACAATGGATTGCAGAGCTCACAAGCCCAAGGATTCTCTTTCACATCCAAGTTAGCAGGATCGACAACAACCTCCTTCGTTTGCATTAAGTCCAAGGATAAGGCCTCCTCTGCCTCTTTCCT